CAGCTCAATTTTGGTTTGCACACCCATTTTTGAACCATTCAGAACATTTTGACCAAAAATAAATTGGTTCAGAACCTAAAAAGTGGGTGTTGGGAAACCAAAGTGGTAACCAAAGTCATATTCTACAGGACGTTGCATCGTGCAGTGCTCTCTGTTAATGCCATATCCTTAATCACAATGGTTCCGCTCAAAACTGGTGAAAATGCTGGCACCAAGCTTCCAAGAATCTTGAACGGAACCAGTTGAGCCCTAACCGTAACCTGAACCCTATTGCAGTCAGGACCACTTTTGTCAAAACAACTTTTATTCCAAAACAGAATTTTACATTTGGCAGTATGGCTTTGTTCTGGGACCTCCTTGTCCTTCCGGGTGCCTACGTGGAAAAGTTTAAGACAAGGAGAGCACCAGCAGCAACGCAATGCTTAATTTGTCAGGCATGATCTTTTCCTAAGCCTAACCAAGGGGTTTTGTTGCTTGAACTTAACCAAACTGCAACCTAAGCAGGCTGCGGAATGAGCAAGGCTTGACAACTTGCCACTGCCTGCCGTGTGTGTTACATACATGGCGTGATACTGGTTTGCAAAATGATGCTACTGCAGACTAATTCAATTCAATTCAATTCAATTTTATTTGTATAGCGCCAATTCATAACAGAAGTTATCTCAGGACACTTTTCAAATAGAGCAGGTCTAGACTGAACTCTTTAATGCTACTAATGCTCCAGTTGCAGAAATTTGAGAGAGTCATTACCCAGAAAAGCCTGTCAGACAAGAAACATAAATGAATTTCTGTTGGGCAAGATGTAGGTGATGAAAAGGTCCAGTGAATGTTGATGAGTTCTATTTACTCTGAATGCTGCCAAGGCAAAACTTTGGATTTTGTTTTCAAAGTTACAAATTGTCATTTAAGTGTGGAGAAGCTTTCCCAACAGTAACCGACAGTTTATGTTGAGGAGTGTATGCCATCATTCTGTTGAAGCCTCCTCTGTGATTTTGGTTGATTGGTTTACAAAAACATTATCATTATCACACCATCCACAGCTCAAATGTTTTCAAAGCCTCTGAACATCTTCTCTATTGTGGTGCATATGCAGATACATATCCAGTGTCAGTCAGCATTGAGCCCTGTAGCAAGAAACAGACTTGGAAGTAGGAAAATATTGTGTCTAATGTATGGAATGGTACAACGAACAACATGATTGACATGTCAATATACACCACATGCTGGATGTAAGATTTAATCTGAATTTGAGGCTGAAGCTTAATGTCCTGACACAACTCTTCCTATCTTGGCCCACAGTTAGCTCATCAGAGCTGTGACAGGTCCATTTCTGCTGCTGCTTGCCTGAGATTACATTATGACTACATCTGCTGTGTATGACAGCCAGTGGGGCCTCCGCTCCTGTGGTCCAACTCGCAGCCTCCCATACGTCAAGCCCCTTGTGCTGGAAAGCAAATTAATAATTTTCCTTGATTAATAATTCAGAGAAGCAGCGCGCAGCCCTCAATGGCTCACACAAAAGCCTTGAATGTTAATTGCATCATGAACTAGGAAAAGGATTTTCTGGGTGAGCGGCGATAAGAAAAAGGCTTGTCTTTCATTCTCATTTCATCGTCTGTCCATAGATCACTGTCTCACCCTGGACTCTACAGTGAAATTTACTGCTGGCTTGGACTCAGCCTCACTCTGAAAGCACTGCTATACACAGCTATTAGCAGCTATTACTGTTATCAAAATGTTCAAATTCCTGGGTCAAACAAGCACAACGTTTGGCAGTTCTAAAATATTTCCCATTATGATTTGAGTCTTTCATAGTGTGAAGGCCCATTTGATTCATTGGGCCTTCACATTGGGCTAGCGCTATGATGGGACAGTCAGGTCACTTTTTTTCAGCAGCCTTGCTAGCTTTGCTTAAAGCACTAGTACCCAACTTGGGGGTCCTGAGGCCTTTCTGATTTTAAAACTGCAGTACGTGCAGTAGGTTTTTTTGAAATTACTTTTTGTCATATTTGCTGAAACGTTCAATACAATTCAATTCAATTTTATTTGTATAGTGCCAATTCATAACAGAAGTTATCTCAGGACACTTTTCAAATAGAGCAGGTCTAGACCGAACTCCTTATAACATACACGTTCACTATATCGTAACAGTAGTACATGAGACGGATAAAATCTTTGAAAAAAAATATTTTTTTTTGGCTTGTTGTAGCGCTCCCAATGGCATTTGTAAGAAGTCTGGACAAAAAAAAAAACAGTTAGAGCTGATTAGTTACCTACTGCAGCTTTAACACATTTATTAAACAAAATTTAGTTGCTTATTTTTTAAAGTTTAGATTATTGTTTAAGATATAAACAGGATAAGGGCACGGTGAAGACCTGAACACAAGCTATATTCACAGAGCCTTCACTCTTAATTCAAAATAACAGTATGTATGATATATATATCATATACAATGACAATAATAAATAAATACATAAAGCAGAATTGTATTAAAAGTCACTAAAAATATCAGTAAACTCATCTTAACACAAATTAGCTGTGTTGGCAGTATACTGTATATATCAGTTGTACAGGATGCATGACTAACAATAGTGTCTCCTGGAGTATTTCTGCACAGCATCTCTGACTCTAGAGTAGTGGGCTGTCAGATATGATCAGTGAGCATATGTTTTGGACTCTATACAGGCACAATGGTACCAAACCTGACAACCTCACAGTGACAACATTTTTCTTTTACATTTAACCTGAGCACAATGAGGGACTCACTCTTATTGCCCAAAAAATATTGTATTATATTTACGCAACGTTTTGCAGTGATTTTAGTGATTAGTTGACATGTGATCACCTTGAGCCATTCCAAACATGTCACCAGTTGGATAATAGCATGAAAAAACAGAAAAACACAAAGTACAATCATGCCAGTAAATCTTGATTGATATGCAATAAAAAATTGATTTAAAGCCAAATCATGAGTAAATTTCTACTCTAATAATCCATATAATGGTCATATTCTAAAGGCTAAGAATAAAGTATTGCAGAGGACCAATAGACTTAATCAATACATATGTTAGTCAACAAACACTGTATGCAATCTATTGGTTCCACAATGAGCAAAGGTCTTTTAGGTTAAAATAAGGGGGGGGAAAAAGTGGAATTTTCCCAAAAAAAAAAAAAAAAAAAAAAAAAAAAAAAAACTCGATGCTTATCTGGAACATTGGACAAAACTCAAAAACAAACTGAATTATTATCTGGCCCTAAACCATGAATATAAATGGGCAAAGTATCTCTTTGCTGTCAGAGATACAAAGCAGAGACAGATCCTGAGTGACCACAGTCTCGCTTTAGAGAAAGGGCGACACAAGAAGTCCTGGCTACCAACAGAGGAAAGAGTCTGTGGTCACTGAACAACAGCTTAGGTTGAGACAGAGATGCACTTTCTCTTAAAACGTGAAAAATATGACACCATCAGATTGGAATACTTTAATAAGTGTAATTGAGAAAAAGAAACAGGGTTGGACATATGTGGCCTAACAATGTCTTAGTTGTTTAAAAGTTTTCCACCCTCACCAAAGAGTGAGAGGCCACGCATGAGACTTATTTCTTAATAAGACGTTTCTTATTAAAAGATTCATCAGCTGTGGCTGGGAATGTGTGAACCCATTTTTGGGGTTGACAGATGCCCTTTGGTTAAGTGACTCTCCCTGCTGAGCGAGCCCTGTGCAACATCTATCAGGCAGCTTTGAAAAAGTCGATAAAATGAGAGCCGCCTACAAATGAACACATTTACCACTTCACTTGTCTGCTTCACCTATGCAGGGCGGTGCTCCAGGGGAACAGGGGGAGAGGGACACTCTTTGAAGGC